TATGTTTTACTTTATCACGTTATTCGTGTTTTATCGAGTAACATTTTTTGAGCCTCTTTTGTACGGCATATATAATAAACACAGTAAAATACATGTTTATAAGACTTAAAAGAATAGATTAATCGATGGATTAATGAAAGATCCGATCTAATAGTTGGCAATACGCGGAGTTTCAAGAGATTGTACCCTCATCCGTTAACCTGTTTAAGGGGCTATTATTTCCGCGATGCACAAACGATAGAAATCCTCTTTGTAGCTGGCATCCGTCGGGACACTTTCAAAGGAACAAAAGCATTTACACCGTTATGCGTTGGAATACTGCGCCGCTGCTCGGTGACCGATCAAATGCACCGTTCGGGAAATTGTTGTGGGTATTCATCAAAGCGGGCCTAAAACAACATGGCCGCGGGGCGAAAGAAAAACGAAATATTGGATTCTTTTATCAGCGAGAAATTCGATTTCGACGGTGCGCGCTGTTATTAAGTGCCGCCTCCGCTCCGCGTCAAACGTTGGCTCGCATCGCGTGGCGAACTTAAACGATTCACCGTAGCGGAATTGACTGAGAAAAAATATGACTGGTAACCCGATTAATGGGAACGCTATCATCCCCCTATCGGTAGGCTGGAATTCGATTGACCGGAAGAGCAGTCACGCGAAACCGTTAACTGCATCGATGGTCGTCCCGTGATGGAAGCCGCGCCGTTTTCAATATTCCTCCAGTAGATATCGTTTCTAACCCTTTAAACGTTACGCGTGACTGTAACAGCGTCTTATTAGTTATAAGTATCAGAACGAGAACTCGCTGAAGTCTTGTAGTTATAATTTAGTGCCGTCTTCAAATGTACCGTTTTACATTTGTTTCCTTAAAAGCAGTACTACTTTTCACTAACACGTTCGTATTACATTATTATTGTTCTCCCTAATGACCTACACGCAAATAAATAAAAATCTCAAATCTTACTAAGGCATAACTTTACACTAGCCACCAGTTCATATAGGACTAGATATATAATTGAAAGCATCGAAACACTGATGGCGATATTAATATTCTTAACATGCACTCCACGATAAGCTATTCGTTCAGCGATATAACTCTGTATGTTCAGCTCAGCCACAACGTGAGTGTTAATACGGCTTGGCTCGCATAGTCACGATTTTCATCGATCCAAATGATCATCAGATCAGTCGGATGCACTGCTAGACGTAGAGCGACGGTTTTAATTGGAAAAAAAGAAGCGAAATAAATATATCTTCCAGGCTCGTCAACGGAAACGATTTCGAAGGATCTAACGGAGTCGCGATTGCGTTCCGCAGCGTCTTCTTTTCGTTCAGTCAATAAATCCAGACGCTTGGCAAAGCTGCAGCTTTCCGATAATTAATTTCTACCTACCGCGTTTGTTCACGGTCCCTCCGATGATGGATCAACGACGATGGTCTCCAGGTGAAAAATATTACCGACGAAAATAATCGATACGATATTTCTTTGCGTTAACCTCCACCACCGTTCGGGAAGCTTAATTAGAAGATCTAATTAAAAGCTCGCGGGATATTAGTTTCCAATTATTAACCGAGTCGTTGCTTTACGTCATCATACAGCTACGATCGGTCGAATTTACAACAGGTATTTAACTGTTCACCTAGGGTGATATTAAACTTTACTATATTTTCAGTTGTCAGGTTAATGGTTATATAAAGTTGCATTTCTTTGCGTAGCATTTGATATTCTGTTGATCTTAACGTTAATTCAATTAACGATAGGACAATCGCGTGCGTCATAAAATAAAACAGAAACATTTACGTTTTTAATAGTTAATACTGTCCTTAATTGCATCTATTAGAAATATATATATATAGATTAAATATAAAACTGAAAGACCACAGTACCACCACCTTTTCCTTTCCTGTTGATACAAATATCCTATACAAAGATAGATTTCCCGCTGACTATTGGGTAAGTTTAAGTTTCCCAATCACCGATGCAATTTAGTTGGCATTTCCCATTCTAAATTGGTCGATGTAATGGGGAATCCGTGTAGCCGCGACACTGTCTATCACAAGGACGAAAGGGACATGTTCCTGTCGGCCAACGAAGCTTTTATGGCTCGACGCCAAACCGATCACGGTTCCTTTCGGGAACGACGTCCGCGTGAATTATGCGATTGCCTTCGTCGAGAGAGACGACATATGCCACGATTTCCGTATATTCACACGTAACCACCTCCAAACCTGATTCCATTGCCAGCCAGTCCCGTACGGAGGCACAAACGTATTACCATCCGCCTTATTTGCTCAGGCTGCGGTTCGCCTTTCAATTCCGCGCAGCGCGGCCTATAATCCGGCGATATATGAGCCTCGTTTGTAACTTGTAATTCCCGGTTAAAACGTTCGACATAACTCAGAATTAGCTCTCTCTTCCGTGTCGATGTTTCATCGACCTCGCATTTGCAATGTTTGTTACTACCTAGGTTCTCTGCCTAAGTCTTGCCGTTTTCACGAAACTCTGTCAACGATTTGTCAATAATTTAGCAAACAAAAAATCATTCGAAAATTTTATTTTTATTATAAAGCGATGCAAGCACATATAATATAATGTATTGTTAACGAAAACTAAAATAATTGAAATGTATTTGTCAGTGATTTATTTCCTATTCCCCCGGCAATCTTTGTAATTAGAAAGGCTTTCCATTTTCGTTTTATCGTATATAATATTACAGTTTCCTACTCTATCGTTGAAAACTACATTAATGCTCGTAGGCTCACGTTCGCAAACATTCTCGATTTCTGCACGCGACGTTTTCCGAAGGGTTCGCACGTGATCCACCCCCCGAATCAATTATCAATCCATTCCGACGAAATTACCGGTAATTCTAACGCCTGTCAGATTAACGATCGATTTTCCAAAAAAGCACAAAAATTTTCGTTGAGTTGACGTAAGCGGCTTAGCGGCGTGTGTCTAGCGAAGCAGCTGTTCCCGTGCGACCTATCGAAAACCCATCCCTTTAGATGTATTGTTCATAGCACGAGCATTAATCCCGTAAATACCAAAATTATCCAGGAAGGGCACTCTCTCTTCCCGAAAGGTGGAAAAGGGCGAAAGCAACGGGGCAACGTGTAATCATTCGGCCAAGTAGGGATCGCGCGCGGATGGATGGGCCATTTAGCAAACTCGAGTAGTACTATGTATAATGTGTCTTTGAACTGTTCGTGACCCAACAGTTCGAATTGTTTTCACCAGATATTTCGAAAATCGTTAATACCATTTGGAATTGTGTATTTCAAATGGAAATATCGGGTATAATCGAACGTATTCAACAACATAAGTTTCGTCGCCTGAAGATAAATTACGGTTTTTAATCGAGAAATTCTAAGTAAAATATATAACTGAAGTCTAATCTGGTTTATATATATTATATGATATATATATTATATGATATAAAAACGCAATTTATTTTAATCTAACTGCTACGAATGGTATAATGTTTCAAGCATAGTAGTTAAATAATTTAAATATTTCATTCAGCATTAAATAAAGAACGAATTTTAGTCCTAAAATTAACAGTTCGTATTAATATGAAATTTTTCATAACACTTCTCAGAAAGTAATTACGTGTTCAAATTCTGAGAAATTTGAAATAATGTAAAATCATGAAAACATGTATATAACCCTTCTCCAGAGACACCAGCCCGCATAGTAATGCCATCGGGCGATAAGAATATGTACTAATTTAAGAGAATTTTTTACCTTTATAACATTACGTGGCGGATCAAGTATCCCATCTATGATAATACGATAAAAGACGTCTTTACTGGCTAGAGGTATCTTCAGTATCGATCACTCGTTGGATCATATTACCACTGACGATATGTAAGATACGGTTACCTCTCCAGCACAGACTTAAGATGCATGCAAACGTTATAATTATAGGATTAAGCCTGCATTAATAACATTCTGTAATAACTGTAAGAATGTAGTCTTTCAATACAAAAATTTCCGTTCGTACACGTAACCGACTGCTGAATAGCTAACAATCAACAATTCTACCATGAGATCCAGTACATATATCTATATACGCGTATGCATGTGTATTTTTAACTCCGAGAGAAAACTCTTAACGTTTGTTGATTTTGTCAACTTTAATCATCGGTTCAGAACCAGCTCATACTAATATATAGTATTATATATTATTGTATATCACATCATGTAATATATGATATATAAATATATATCTTTCATACAATTATATTAAATTATATACAATTTATATTAACACGTTCACTGCGACAGTGGTCACCGATAACTAGAGCTTCCACACTGCTGAAGAACAGTTACAATAAAAACTTTGATTTTAAATAAAAATATTTAGTAAGTTAAATAGCTGGATCATAGTGTAATATGACTACCATGATACTAAACCATTAATAATTATTTTCAATATCATTTGTCCTTGTAATTAAAGAATAAGTATTACTATTCAAAACGCTAGAAATTTTCGTGGCAGTCAACGTGTTAACAAATTTATTATTATATGCCATATAATTGCATATTACTGTATATATTTATATTACATTCTTATATTTTCTTGTAAAAGGTCAATATAAACCTGTCTTTAATTTTGGCCGCTCAGATCTTGCAAATACCCCACTGTGCGACGTGTAGAACCTAGAATCCGTAGTTTTCCTATTAATCGTTCTCTAGGCGTAGAGGGCGATGCAAAACCTCTGATTTTGTACACAGTCGGTAAATCAGAACATGTGACATAGTCCCGTAAGCTTACAATACTATCCTATATCTAATTTGTGGTAATAGATTTCTTTAGTTCATATATAATTGAATTTATATAATTAAAAATATAATTGAATAAAGAAAAATACATAATTGAAATAGTACGATAATAATCGACTTAGAAATTCAAAAGAATTGATTATGAATAAAACATCGTTTAAAACATATTTGTAAGTCAGGATTGTTGAACTGAAAGTTCGCGGCCTCCATAGTGACTTTCAACAGTTCGATACCTCTGACGTATAACGAGTTTACAGAGCATCAAAGTTATATCTGTTCAAAAAATCACTCATATGATGTTTCAATATCACTTCACCTATTTCTAGTAAATTTGTGACGTCTGCTTTCAGAACACATTGGTACCAATGAATATCAGCCGGATTTATGTCATATGTTGAGAACGACTTTTATACAGTATGGCGGAGTTATATTGCATGCATTTAGGCGTGAGACGACATGATTTCAATAAAAGCGAATCTTGTGGAAGATAAGTTTATTTTTTATATAGGAAACGAGATTTAGGCGAGATAAGATTTTTGATTTGTTCTATATTCGCGTAATCGGAAGGATTATTGCAGTGGAATTAAACGTTTAGATTGTGTTCGTGTGCTAGGATTAGATCAGTGAAAAAATTCATAGATTTTGCATCGCGTAATTAACTTTAATCTTTAAGAATTAAGAATAAAGTATTTTCGTTTCTGTTTATCACGGATGGACGGGGTTAGTTTTGTATGGTTCGAGGGTAAGTTTAAGAATGGCTAGCGATTTATCGAGTGGTTGTACCGAAGCAATTGAAGTGCTGGATGAGAAAGAGGAAGGTGAAATATCCTTGGAAGATGTAAGTTCTTCCGAGGAAGGACATCTAAATTACGGATACGGAGCAAGGGTACCTCAATGTTCTAACTGTTTGTCGACTCAACACAACACAGCGTGGTGCACTGCTTCTGCTAAATTGTATCACTCCAGAGGCCCTAATAGAAGAGGTAAATTAAATGATTATATTTTAAAATATAGTTCTCATCTTATTAGTTGTTAAAGTTATAATTACATGAAGCTCTTTATACAATGTATTAGGTTTTATACCACTATATTTTTATATTGTGATTGAATCATAGACATTAATTTATAGGTTTTAGAAATATAGAATTTTGTACTGAATTGTTTTAAAAATCTGTTTTAATATTGACAATATTTTATAAGTTCTGTGTTATTAATTGAATAAATTTAAATTGTTATCTAACTTTTTAATAAAATAATGTATTATCATCTTCTACATATCATGTTCTAATCAAGTAGAAGTTGACCTTATTCTACAAGATGCAGTCCAAGGAAAAGAAAACCGTCATCAGATTAAAGAATCTGGATGTATTGGAGCAAAACATACAGTTTCTACGCTTCAAGAAAAAAATGATGACCTTGTGCCTATTTCGAGTGACAGTGATATGGAAATTGTTGGTCTTGCAGACAATTCTAAACAAATTGTAATACGTTCATCATCAAAAGGTAGATTGAAAAAAAAGAAAAAAAGAAAAAGAAATCATGTAGCTGTGTTATCATTGGACGATTTAGTTTCTTCATCTACTGTGGATGTATCTATACCTGACTGTGTCAGTACATTGAAACATGAAGTAAAAACTACTTCTTCAAGACCGTACCACAGAGAAATAAGTCCTGTTCGTAGAACCACCAGAACTAGAGTAGCTTCAAGGTCACCTCCTAGAAGGCATAGACCTATTGTGCAGGCACATTCTCCCTTTAGGAGATCAAAATCTCCAATTATTCATGGTAGATCAACAACAACAAGAAGATCTCCAAAGAGATTAAAATCTCCTAAACGATCTCCTTATCGATTGCCAGTTAAAACAAGTCCCAGGAAAACATCTCGTCTTGACACATTGTCATCGTCTCACAATTATGTGGAGACTCATAAGTTATTAAAAAAGGTCAGACATTTAGATTCAATAGGAACTGATTCATTAGAAGAAACACTGAATAAGAACAAAGAACATGCTTCTTCTTTGAAGGAAAAGTTATCGAATATGATGAAAAGAGTCTGTGACAATAATAGTGATGTAACAGATATTTCTAAAGAAAAGTCCAATACACGCATAACTAATTTAGAACTTAATGACGCAGATGACGAAGAAGATTTAGCATTATTAAGACAAAAAGCACTTGAAACAAAACAAAAGAAATCAGGTAAACAGAATGAGCAACCAAAGACTGAAACTGTAAAAAAAATAAGTATAGATGATGATCAAGATGCAGAAGACTTAGAATTGAGAATGATCGCACTTCGTTCTGCAGTATTAAAGAAACATCAGAATAGAATACAGAAAGGTATGAAGTCAGGAAAGTATAAGAAATGCAATGCATCCAGGAGTGAAAGTCCATTCACTCAAAGTTTTCTGGATAGCATTCCTATACCAGGCGAAGAATTACTAAATTTTGCGTCACCACCTCATACTCCACTTCCTATGATAGAAAATAATCATACAGAAGATATGGACTTGGATACAGATGTTGAAAGGGAAAAAGAAAAATTACCATATTCTCCAACAGATAAAATTACTGCCAATATACCTATGGACACAGAATTATTAGGAATTCAACCATCTGATGTATCATTTATTAATCTTCATGATGCAAATAATAGTCCAAGTTTTAGTACATCCATACCATCTAGTCAGGATGATCAGAAGTCTTATCATGGAAAAATAATTGAAAATCGAAGTTACTTACCAAATGTTACATATTATGCTGTACCACAAAGTACATTTTATGCAGCTCCAAATTCCAATATGCAATACTCGCAAACAGATCTGCCCGAGACTGTTATTCCAGATTATATGAAAGTACATAATTCTCATATGAATATTCTCGAAAGTAATAATACTTCCAATTTAGATAACAATTTAAGTCAAGAAACACCTTATTCTCCAACTGATACTCCTGTGTATGATCCTGATCTATCACATGCACTTCCACAGACTCTTGGGCCAATTGCTACCTCAAGTTCTTCCTTAGCATCTTTAGGATCTTCTTATATCCCAAATATGCATGAAAATAATGAACAGAGCAATCGCATATCAACAATGCAACATAAACAAATCACAGAATTAATAAACAATGTAACTGTTGATGGACATTTAGACAAAATAGAAACACTCTCCATGCAACCTAGCGTTGGTTCTGCTGCAAATTCCCTACAAGAATCAGTATCGCCGGGTAGTTCAATGATAACAATTGATGACCTTCCTGAAACTGATACAGATGCAAGTCCATTAACTAGCTCTATTGAAAATGTAAAAAGTATGGAGTACATTCCAGATAGTATAACAGACAGTGTCAAAGAACCTCTTTATATGAAAGGAATACCGGATGTTACCAAAGATGTAAATAAAATACCGACATTGATTAACAGGACACTTGTTCCTGCATCCATTTTAAAAACGAATAAACAGTTACAACAACCTTTACCTTTAAAAAAGGCTGTAATAACTCAAGAACCAACATTCAAAAGTGCAGAAATGCAACCAGTTAGCTTGACTGAAGTCAATAATATAAAGGCAAACACTTCTTTTAAACCAATGAAATTAATGTCTTTCCCACAAAAATCTCATTCTGTTCTATCAGTACCTACTGTATTTCATGATTCTTCACATGAAGATTCAATCAATGAACAACCAATGAATGCAGATGGTTTATTGGTAGAAAGTAATAATAATGCAACTTTGGTACAAAATAATGAAACTGTAAATGCAGAATGCCCGGATAAAACCTGTGATATCATAAGTCAAACTCAAAAGAGGAAAAGAAAAGGAATGAAAAGAAAGAGTTCTAGTATTATGGTTACTAAAGAGCATAATATAACAGGTACAAATAATGACAATACAGATATTTTGAATAAACAAGTAAATAAAATATCTAAAATCGAAAGGTCTAAAGATATAGAAAATAATACAAATGTATCTAATTTAGAAACATTCAAAGATGATGCTCATCAAGGAAATCAAATTATTTCGGAAACAAATGAAAGTGAAATAAAAAGTAATGACACATTATCTAGTACAGTGGAAAAAGTAAAAGATACAGCTAATAGAAGACAAAGCTTAGATGAAGATGAGGAAGCATTAAGAGCTATTTTATTAGCTTCGTTGCCAAAACGAACGAAAACGACCAATCAAAATCATTCAAATTCAGGTTCAATAACAACTGTGACTACTGCAGCAGACTGTATTAATCAAACACTTGTAACTCAGACTGTAACAGCAGTTACATTATCTGTAACTAATACAGTTAACATAGTAAACACTACTAGTACAATATCTACATCAATTCCGCCTATAAATTCTTGTAATTCTGAAAATGATAGAAATCAATCAAATTCGAGTGAAAAAGTAAGTAATACAGTTAATTCACAGAGAAGTCTACCTGTTGAAACTGTTAAAACATTATCTGCAATTAATTCTGGGAGAAGAAAATTAGTTCCTATGATTAAGGGTCCACAAAAGAAACATATGAAAAGAATTCCAATTCCTGCAAGTACGAAAGTTGTAAACAATGCGAAAAAGTACCAAAATGCAATGATTCAAAAGAAATTGAATGTACAAAAAGCTGTACTGTATAGTAAACAGAAAGTAACAGAACACAAAACTGCTATTAAAATTCAGCCTAATGACAACAAATGGTCTACGAACACAAAAATAGCATCTGACACACAAAGAATAGTAATTAATTTAGAATCTGACACAGAAAGTGATTCTGAATCTGAACAGCGTAAGCAAAAAATTGTATCTTCAATCAACTCTGCCTCAGTGGATAAAGTACAGTCGAACGTAAATGCCACAGCTGACTTTGAGAAAAATTTAGATCAATTTTTACGAGCTGCACGAAAGAAACAAGAATCTATGGCAGCTGCAAGACCAACTTCAATATCACAGACACCTAAAAAAGAGACAACATTATTAACAAAATTAGAAAATTCATCCAATCTTCACACACCTCTGGTAAGATTTGTATACTACAATATTTTAATATTAACAAGATGTTTAATTGTTTGAACATTTTCATAGGCTGTACGTCACTTACCTGCATCCCAACAAGAAGAATATCGTCGACTGAAGCAACAAATTCTGGAACGAGAAAAATTAAAATTGCATAGAACTACAGAAAATAATAGTTCTATGAAGAATAAGAACGTAGAAGTAATACCAAAATCAGTACCATCCAACAGTCCCAATAAAGAATTAAATTCGAAAATTAATCAGAATACACTTACAAAAAATCAGGATTTAAATGCACAACAACTTAACAAAGAAAATTGTTCAAAAAATTTAGATTCACCAAAAAATACAAGTATCAATAAAATGCATGGCATGGATAAGCAAGAAAATACGAGTCCAAGCCAAACAAACATAACATCGAGATCAATAACAAATCTTAATATATGTATATCCAATGAAAATAATTCAAACAACGTTGGTAATAAAATTGGAAATCCTTTAAAACCAGTTGTTCCACAACCAAAAATATGTGAATCACAGAATGAAATATCAACTAAGTACCCGTTTTCGCAAAGCTTAAAAATTTTATCATCGGATGAAGTAAATCGGAAATTTGTACAAGTTCAAGTAAAAAATGATACACATGAACGAGTAGTAACAATAAATGATAAAGTGACCTTAAATAACAAAACAGTGATTAAACAAAATGAAAATATTTCTGGAAGTAAAAGCACTATTGATAGAAATTCGGATGGTCAACTTACAAATCAACATTTACAATCTGTAGAAAAGGAAATAGTTACAAATAACTTTTCCGTTAATAATAATTCAGTGGATTCAGATGCATCCACCATTATTTTAGTCAAAAATGGTGCAAATGTAAATAGAGAAGATAGTACGGATACATCTCGATCAACGATTCGACTTTCGCAATACGAAGCAGATAGTCGAGCAACAATTTCTGTCACAGAAAATAAAGATGATAGTTTTGCGTTATTCAAGAATAATCTATTATCAAATGATAAGAGGAGTATAGAAGAAAATTGGGAAACAATTAAACGGGATGTAAAAACGGAACTAAACACTCTGATAACTCTTCCGAGGGCGGAACAAGAGCAACATTTAATGGATACCGAGCAAAAATTAGTTTTGAAACGGTATGAAAAACCATACTGTATGGTGTAGAAGATACAATACACGTACAGTTACTTATTTATATCTTGTAATATAGGTATACGATTTTGGACGACTTAGCGGAAATGTCGGGTAGTCTTCGGCAGTGGCACATGGAACGGGATCTACAAACGAACTTGGTCGCAGAAGTGAAGAAACTCCGAGAGCAACTGAAAGTTGCTGAGGAAAGGTTGCAGCTGCAGCGTAATCGTATAAATAGTATAGGCCCTAAGGTAGTAGCGGCACACGGAAAAATCAACGCGGGCCGACAAGAATGTTTTAAACTTGTAACAATTTGTTCAAGTTTGGGAAGTAGAATTAGAGGAAAAGAATACAAGTACAGTATACATAGAATCAAAATAACGGTAAACATAGGAAATATTTCCTTTAAAAACATTATTTTCATTGATGTTTTCTAGGGTACCTGAAGCTGGAGCACAACTTTTAGATAATAGATTAAAAGAAGTAGTCAATCACACTCGACAACTTTCTCGGAAGAAAGTACCATCGATTTATCTTTCCGAAGCATACGAATCGACAAAATCAGACGATACTGTGTCCACTGTGCATTCGGATGCTTCACAAAGTGAAGCCTTGTTGATAGTACAAGATAGTGTAGATAATGTTGGTAACGTTGATAATACTAATGCAACGATTTTAAATACGAGTAACTGTTCACTGAAAGCAAGCGAAATTGAAAACAATATATCAGAAGAAACAACTATAGTAGACGTAAAAGAAATCAATGAAGAAGAACAAAACATAACAAAAAATAACTCGTCCATTAGTAATAATGTAGAAAATGTACCTCAACAAAGCAACACAGAAGAAGCATCTAGTAAAGACTCGAGTGCCTCTATTACAGTTTCTAATACCCTTCTTTCAACAAACTCCGAAGAACCGAACGGGAAAGAACCATTAGAAGATATGACAATGAGGCCTGAATCAGCTGCTGAATCTTGCAACCAAGACAGGACCTTCACGAAACCGGAGATGGAACGTTCGACTAAGAAGACACTTTTACCTTATGAATCGATATTAGTACACTTTAAAGTGCCAAGGTGGGTTTTGCTCTCTAAATATTTTAGCGATATTTTCTTAACTGCTTTCTTAAAGGCACAAAATTCTTTACATTTAAATCCTACAAAAATGTTAAGCATTTTTTTCGTGTTTTTTGTCATTCTTAACCAGGAATACGAATCCTAATGGCATTCTTTGTCCATATGAACTGATGGGGACATGCAACGATGGCGAATGTCAATTTATTCATCAGAGAGAGAGTCAAGCCAAGTAGCATATAGCTACTAAAGTGGCATTGTTAAGTTATACGTAAGGTGGTTTTAATCTTTAATCATAACATTCAGAGGGCTTTATGAAATAAAAATCCAATCAAGCCTTTTAATGAAAGCGATCACGGCTTTCTAAAATTCGTCTCAACATTGGAACAAGAAAAACGTTTCTTGTTCTAAGTGTTATTACTCTTCTAATTGCAGGTTCTATTTCTGACGAAGCAATGTACTATATGGATGGCATAATCCTGTTAACAACCGAAGATGTCACACCCGAAGATGGTAAGTTGTCTTCATCATGGCAGGAGTTTGTGCACAAATTAAAATAGCCATTTTATTCTGTAAGGATCTTATATTTTAAGCAAAACAAAATTTTTCATACTGTGCTATTTCAAGCTTCTATTCTATCAAAAGTTTAAGGAAGAATTGCTGCAAGTGTTTATTTTTTACATATGTAAAAAGTGTCATATAAACTGCAAGTAGTTAGTGTGGTTAATGTAAGGAAAAGAATAAAAGAAGAAATTATTGACCGATTGTTGAAGACAGCCATACAACAGGCCAACGTCGGGCATTACAACAAATATTCATTTCAAAACTTCTATATAAGTTACCTCATAAAATGTCTTGTACCTGTATAATAAAAGATTGATATTTTTTTTTAATTGTGTTTTTATTTTATCATTTTAAGAATATAAAGTTCCCCCTTAGATGTAGAAAATTTGAGTAGTATTAATATTTAATCTCCGTATTTATGGCCAGGAAATTCTCCTTGCACTTTATGTTTATGCCAAGTAAATTTGCCTTCAGCTCGAAGTTGATCCCAGTTACGAATCCATTCACGTGGGCATATAGACGTGAAAACTTGTTTAAACCAGGTGCATGCATTCGATCCTGCTCCTAAAATATGTTCACAACGATAGAAATCGGTGTACATTACCCAACAACGTAACGTCTGGTTTTGTTGCTGAAATCTAAACGATGTTAATATGCAGTATTAACGAGAAAAGTAATTTGAAAGAAGGAGATATGTCTATTGCAATTATAAGTATTAAATAAAATTACCTAGGATCCGCACCAGGAGCACGAGTCATTTGTGGAATAATTTCCTGCTTCTCTTTATCTTTAAGGCACGGATCATCTTCATCTACTTCTATAGTTACTTTTTTCTTTTTCGTCTTTTTATCAACCTGCACCACATTTGAGGTTGAAGTTACTTGGCTTACATCTTTTATATCCTCTACGTACTCGTATCTTTTCGCATTCGAAACACGGTCTCGATTTTTGTTTTCAAAAGACATCGTACCTTGAAATCATATTTCAATCTCACTAATAAAAATTACTTTATGGATAACAGTATATTTGACGCAAATATTAATATAAGCCTGAATATTGATAAAAGACAATTTTATCGAAAATTTCAATAACTACAATGATTAATTTTTCGTATATACGCTACGTGCCGCACTGGTATTAAAACATTGTCTTTAACGAGTATACAATGATGATATATTATATATAGACCAACATAATTGGACTTGTTAGTATAAATCGATTGATTTGATTTGGTAACAAATGCATACTACGATTCAAATAGCGTCTACTAAACATAATACTACAGAGATACAGTTTTCATAAATATATAAGTGTGAATCTATTGCGCATAGGAAAGAAACATTTCTTGAACATGATGAAACAACTGTTAACGGAATATCGTAACATTAGTTTTCGAAATAAACAAATATTATGACAATTAAGCAACTATGAATACAAATTTCATCAATGAATCAACTTTTGATTTGGCTGAAGCTATCGATCATTATTTAGCTTTGTGGAATAACGTGCGCAACGGAACAGTGGGGAGCATTGGAGAATAGCTGCAAGCATTGCTGAAGAGTGGGGAGTGCTGAAACCATAAAAGGCAGAGTAGGGGTGAAATCTTCAGTTTGCCGGGCATCTCTGGACTATGAAGAGTTGTTGCGTTTATTTTTAAAACACGATTGTCTTAAGCTTTCTTGAATCATCTTAGAAGCTTTACTTTTCACCCCTTAGCTTTCGAGCTTCTTGAACCGTGCTTAGTTATCGATGATGAAAGGTTCTTGGGCAGTGAAGTTGCTTCCTTCTCTCCCTGGCCACGGATTACTCTTGACTGGATTTGGTCATGAATGGTCAAGCAGGTTCTTGGTCAGCGGAGCTTCCTGTTCCTCCCTCTGGCCCTGAACCACTGTTGACCAACAATCATTAGTGGTCAAGGACATTTTCCTGCTCCTTCCGGATTATGAGCCGATTGCAACAGCAGTCGGTGAGTCAAATGTATTTTCCTGCTCCGGTCGTTGATCATATCGTAGATGAATAACGAAATGACAGTACCATTGTGGTAGTTGTTGATTTTGTGAGTGCAGTGACCTCGAGGTATGCCTTGCATACTTGTAAATAGTAGTATTTCTGGGTTTATTTCTTGTCGTTAGATAAGACACGTTTCTCCTGTATGTTTCGTCTGATTTACTATTGAATTTGAATGTCAAGAAAAATAACAGAAGAGATCCTACTTTCAATTTTCAACTAAATGCCTTAATAAATATACTATTGCATAACACAGTTTTCCTGAAATGTAAGAACAATGACTGAGATAATAATAACAATGAAGCAGTCAACAAATTACTCTTACATTTTCATGTTACGTTTGGAGAATAACAAATTTATTTTTACACGAAAATGTAAACGTTACTGATTACGAAACGAAAATTCTAAGTTATTTTTTGATATCATCATCCAGCTAAACGTTACGCCTTAACTTTTTCATAAGACTCAAGGTGCTCCTTCGCAAATGAAATTCATAAATTCTATTCGACGTCTACAATAACAAATTTGCAAATATGGAATTGCTACGAACAGGATCGAAATAATAGTTTTAGTTGTTTATATGTGTTGGAACTTATCCCTCAGCATTTGCATATCTTGAGGTTGCTCTTTTCCATCGTGTTAACCTTGTAGGAAGAAACATAAATTAACGGCGGAATAGTGAAAAGGTTCACCTGCAACACAATTCTATAGGTTGAAAATCCATAACAAAAATGTGAAAAGGTGTAACACGTGAGCGACAGTGACGTTCATTATTTGATAATTCATTGTTATTCCTGGAGGCGCTGTAACATTTAATCATTTTCATTTCTTATGACAGAAATGCAAAGTTCTTTTTTTTTTACTTCCGGTTGGATTGAAAGATACCAGTTAAACATCAATTAAATGTGATAAGATGTGATTCATGCGTCAGTTGTTACCCAATATGTTGAGTATCACTGCTGTACGTGAAGACGAAGTCACGTGTACACCGACGCAGTTCTTCATCCCACTCCAGTCACTCCAAGTTCTATAATATTTGGGTAGCCGAAGCGGAATAGACGTGTATTGTTATCTACGGTGTGCATACAATAATATTGTAAATACGTGTCTTGATCCGGTATAATCTGTTCAGTGTTAGTCGATCGCGTACGTTCCGCGCTGCAATATTTGTAGTGATGCTTTCAAATTATCTTTATCCTTGTTTAATGACAAAGTATAAATCATTGGATTATTTTGGTTTCATTAGTCATTTTGATTATGTCATAGTTCAATTTCGTTAAAATGTTAGTCGTAAAGTGTAAAAGGACGTAAAATTTAACATGAAATGATCCATACAGATTAGTTTCAATTTAAATTTTGCTTCTACTTAATTATCGATATCAGGATTTTCTACAGAGCTGTATTCAGTGTAATATTATTTAGAAATACATGCGCACTGGGAACTAGTTTCGAAAAAAGGCCGAATTATTGTTTTCATAAAAGTACTCCGTGTATTAGTTCTTTCAATTTCTGTATGAGCGATTCGCTTGACGTTTAAACGGATTAGTGGTAAGTAATTTTTTTTAAATATTAATTTTGCTCAGTTTCATGGAAAATATTTGGAATCTTATTTTTATATTTATTTGTGAACCATTGTTATTGAATTAATCAATTGTTTAATTCAACTTGAATTTTTAGTACGTTTTTATCGTGGTCTTAAAAGATCTAGATCTATCACATCACTTCGTTATAATTCGATTACATTTCCTCTGTATTATTCCAAAGTATTTCCGTTTTTAACCGTATATTTGTTCTTTTTTCAATGTTTAAAATTATAGTAGTGGAAACGAACATTTTTTTAATTTCATGTTTATATCTTGTTCGTATTTGCCGCCGCACATTTTTAATAATTTCAAAAATTGCAAAAATATTCGTTCGTTTATTAAATACATTTCGCATAAACGAAACTCGCATACTGCATAGATAACAAGTAAATGTTGATTATTATTTATGTGCAGACATACAGTACTCTGTTACTCTTTACAAGTAAATCAGTAAAATGCATTAAAAATAAAATTATATCTTCAAATTGCATACGTGTATTGACTGTTTTATTGTAATCTTATGTGTAACAATTTTCATCTATTATCAGTAGCAATGTGGTTGTTTGTTTCTACATTTTTATCATTCTGTAGTAATCTTTGAACTTGATAAACTTATCTAAATCCACTTTACAGTAGATATAATGATTGTACACATATTGATTAATTAAGAGTAAAAGAAACTAATTTTGAAAGTCTTATGTGAAATGTGTTCTCCTTCTCCTAGAAAAGTAATGACCTAAAACTGAAGGAGCACACTTGAGAAATCTATGTTGAAGAATACCTTTCACCTATAGTGTTCAACAGTTTTTGTGAATAAAAGAATAGAATTAAGAACTATATAAAGCATACAAAAAATTGTTATCATCTGAGATAGTATTTTACATTAGTATGTATGTGTTATACATATATGAAATATCAGTATACTAAAAGACTATACAGTGTTATTTTTTCAAAGGATAGCTGAACATTTGTCCAAGATGTCAGACATTGAAGAAGATGAGGTATACATAGAATTGTATTGATAATTAAGTAATAAGTATTAATATTGTACTAAGTTTTAATGTTATTCATATTTCAGTTTCAAGATGCCCAGGAATCTATACCAGAGTAAGTATATAATTATTCTAAATATACATATACCTACACACATATTTATTTATATACTAAATTATTATTATTTTTTCATAGACCTACTTCTATGGATTTGGATACAGCAATAATGGAAGCAGAAAAAGCAATACATTGGTTTTTTAACAATGATTTTGAAAAAGCAAGAAAAATCATGAAACCGTGGGCACACTGCAGTATATACCACTCTTTAGGGACGAGTGTTTTTGAATTCCTTGAAGCCATTCTTACATTTGAACAAGTATTACATCATAATAAACTGAAATATATGGAAAGTATTTTATCGAATAATACATTATGATATGTATTGCTTAGCCATACATTAAAAAGGCATCTGCAACCGTGAAGCAGTGCACGAGCTTATGTTTGAAGCAACGTAAACATATCACATTAACACAAAATATTGGTAAAATAGTTCAAAAGGCTAATTACGATGCTTATACACTGGGTACGTATATGCACTTAAGTATATTAATATGACATGACATTTTTAATTAGCTAAAGCTTTAGATTCTTCTATGAATAACGTGCATGATCAGCTGAATCAAAATAAAAGCATATAAAGTTTCACTACTACGCATTTGTGTAAACAAAACTTAAGGCATGAAGGAATAATGAAAACTTAATATTACAGAGGAAGTGCATGCAGAACTTTGTTACGCAGAATCACTCCTTTTCAAATCGGTACTCACGTTGGTGGAGGACGAGAATTTGGTCAGTTTTGTCAAAGCCGGATTGAAACTTCGTTCCTGCTATTTGTCATATAAGTAAACAAACTAGATCGCTAACTATCCATCTCAAATATTTATCGAGGAATTATATATTGTTTCATGCATGTTATCCTTCTTAGGGAATGTCTAACAATTTTGAATAATCGGAAATGGGAAAATGACGTTCATAAAGTACATTTTGAAAGTGGCGTTCGTACAGGAATTGGGGCATTCAATTTGGTACATACTATCATCTTTATCGGTTAAAATTATTTAAGTAATATAATACTATAACAAATTTTGGGGACTTTTTAGATGATCTCATTGTTACCAGCAAGAATTATCAAACTACTAGAGTTTATAGGCTTTTCAGGCGATAAGGTAGTATTAATGAAGCATTACGTCCTTTAGTAAAAGTGTTTTCATAGGGAAGCTCATATAACAATAATTTGATATCTCTTCTACCAATAGGAATATGGTTTAACTGAGTTAGAAGCAGGATATAGGGAAAGAAGAGGATTACGACACATTTTGTGTGCAATGATTCTCTTATTTTATAACTTAGTGATATCTTTCATTTTAAGTAACACAGATGGAGATTTAGAGTGGTGTGAAAAAGTATTGGAGGAGGAGTTAAGTCTTTATCCAAATGGTGTATGGTTTTTATTTTTAAAAGGAAGATTAGAATTAACAAGAGGAAATTTTGAAAGTGCTATAGAATGGTATACAAAATCTTGGAAGAGCCAAGATTTATGGCCTCGATTTCATCTTCTCTGTTTTTGGGAGTTAATGTGGGTGCATTGTGCTCTTCTACAATGGGAAAATGCTGTCAAGTTCGCCGATATTTTAGTCAAGAAATCAAAGTGGTCGTGTACTGTTTCTTTATACCAGAAAGCAGCAATACTTCTTATGCAGAAACCATTGTCAAAAAGTGAAGAAAAAGAATTAATTAACACCTTGATGATGCAGGCGCCTACATTTAAGCAGCGTGTAGCAGGAAAGTCGTTGCCAATAGAGAAGTTTGTTATTAAAAAGACAGAACGTTATTTTGCTCAAAAAAGTAAGCTGGTGCTTCCCGTATTTGAACTTATGTATGTGTGGAATATGTTCAGAACTATCGGCAAACGGCAAGATTTAATATTAAATATATTTAAGTTGATTGAAGAAGAAGAAAAAGAACTTAAAAATAGCCCGTGAGTCATTTTGATTGATTATATAATCGATATTATGCATTGTAATCGTACACCGACATTAACAGATTTTTAATTTCTTGCAGGAAAACTGAATTTCATGGCGATAATGAAGCTCTTTTATTACTTTTAAAAGGCGCTTGTTTACGGCATTTAAAACGCTATTTATTAGCAGAGGATTGTTTAACTCGTATTCTTAGCCTAGATAAATCAATTAATGAAGATACTTACATACTTCCATTTGCAACAGTGGAATTATCTTTGTTAGCAAAAGATCAAGGAAACATTCCATTAGCTATTGAGTTTCTAGAAGATGCTAAGTTAGTTACTTTTTCTTTATTAATCTCAAATATTTCCCATAACTAATTAACAATTAATTGAGATTATTTTATACTATTACAGGAGGAATTTTACTGGATATCTTCTTGAAACTAGATTACACTTTAGAATTCATTCTGATTTAATGAACTTGACAGGAAAGAAGAATGAAAATACTACAATACAATGATATCTA